CCCCCCCCATCCCTGGTAACCAACAAAGAAAGTTTCCTTCCATATATAAACTTTTCCTTGACTTTTTATAATAGTGGACTAATACAATATTTGTCCTTCTGTGACTGGCTTATTTTACTCATCATAATGTCCTCCAAGTTCATCCACATCAGATGGTGTTCTGCAGATTCTACGTTATTCCTTAGGGTTACATACTATCCCATTGTGTGTATGCACCACAGTTTGTATATCCATTCCTTGGTTGATAGGCACTTAAGTTGTTTCCATCTCTTTGCTATCATGAATATTACTGCAATAAACATGGATATGCATATATCTGTTCATGCCCTGCCTCTCACTTCTTCAGGATATATACCTAGTAACAGGATTTCTGGGTGAAATGGTATTTGTATTTCCAAATTTTTAAAGAATTGCCATACCTGTTTCCACAGTGCTTATATCATTTTACAGACTACCAGCAGTGTATGAGAGTCCCAATCTCTCCACATCCTTTGTTATTTTCTGTCTTGTTGAACTTTGCTATTAATGCTGGGGTGAGATGGTATCTTGTTGTTTTGATCTGCATCTCTCTAATGGCTAATGATTGTAAATATTTCCTCATGTGTTTGTTCATTGCCTGAATATCTTCCTTGGTGAAGTAGACTGAGAGAGCCTTTCATCTACTTATGTATTTATCGATCAGATATAATGAAACCTCTGTCAAATGTCAGTAACTCTTCTGAAATATAGCAGTGACCAAGGACACAAGGTGCCCTGTCATGGAGCTTATGTTCCAGAGGAAGGAGACAGACAACTGATGAGTTAAAAGAATAAATAAGAGATTTTCGGATAGGGTTAAGTGCTATAAGAAAAATGGGGCAAAGTAACTGATTTGATAGTAAGGGGGAGAGGTGGCAAACTGTGAGGCCCCTTAAAAGAAGTGACATATGAGCTATAACCTAAGGACAAGAAGAAGCCAATTGTGATGGAGGGCTGAGGAAGAGTATTCTGGGCAGAGAATACCTTGCAAAGGCCCAGAGACAAGGGAGCTCAGAGTGATAAGAAACAGAAAGAAGGCCAGAGTGGCTGAGACATGCTATGCAAGAGGGAGAGGGGTGTGGGAAGTGAGCAGTTGAGAAACACTGTCCTGAAGCTAAAACAGGCAGATTCTATACACCTGTTAAGAAATGTGAATTGTATTCTGTGTCAGGAAGCTATTGTGGTCCTCTACCCTATACCTAATCCCTGATCCCAGCCCCAGGGAGTTACAGGATATGAACAATTACTTTAGCTAACATGTGGGTTTAGACTAAAGGAATAAGAGAGAAGGTGAAAAGATGTGAGAGTTTTGAAATGCAATTTGGAGGTTGATCAACCAGATCTGACGGGTTGATGGGGGTGGGGGGAGGTGAGTCGGAGAAAGCATAGGATATAATGAAAACCGAGTTCAAATCCCTGGGTGCTGCAAATGGTTACTAAGCTCGGCTGCTAACCGCAAGGTTGGCTGTTTGAGTCTACCCAGAGATGCCTCGGCAGAAGAGTCTGGTATTTTACTTCCAAAAACTCAGCCACTGAATACCCTATGGAATACAGTTTTAGTTTGACATCCATGAGGTTACCATGACTCATGAGTTGACTTGAAGGCAACTGGTTGGTGAGCAGTGAGTACGGAACTTAGATGGTCTGATATAAGTGAGGAGGATCCATTAGAAAAATGTGGGATTGGGAGTGAAATAGATCAGTTTGGAAGTTGCTGAAGCAAGTGAGTCAAGAGATGGGGCACGTGAGGATGGGTTTAACCTAAAGGTTCTCAGGCAGGGGAGATTTCACTTCCTCGAGGACATTTAGCTAGGTCTGGAGACATTTTTGTTTGTCACATCTTTAGGGCAGGTGCTACTGGCATCTAATGGTTAGAGACCAGAGATGTTGCTAAACGTATTACAATACATAGAACAGCCCCCACAGCAAAGAATTATTCAGCCTAAAATGTCAAAATTGCAAAGTTGAGCAACACTGGCCTGAAGCTAAGACAATAGTTATGAGCACTGAAGAGAAAACGGTAGAAGTAGGAGGTAGACTACACAGCAGAAGGTGATATTTTAGAAGCAAGAAACCATCGTCAAACTTTTAAACAGGGCAGATGGGTGGACAATGTGGTCTTTTCTGCAAGAGGGAGTAAGTGAAGAATAGAGGAAGTCTGTGGGGAGAAACTGTTGAATTTTGTTTTAGACACTCTACTGATTTGACAGTGGCTGTGGGACTATCTCTGTTTTTGTTGAACATATAATACTCCTCCTCAGGAGAAAAATCTTGTAAAGTAATTGCTTAGGGCAGAGAAGTTGGGAGAAGGGACCTGTCTGAGGGTGAAGATGAGGTTTAAACCATGACTAGATTCAGCACCAGTCCATATACAGATGGATGCCTGCAAGTGTTTGGGAAGCAGCTGCCACTGCGGCTGATTATTATGCTTGTAACAGAAATGTGTAACTTGTCTTTTTTGCAGGAACGAATACAGGCTGATGAAGTGATCGCAATCCTAGATCGAGAACAGCAAGGAAAACAGGAGCTGAATATCAACCCCAAAGATGAGCTATAGAAAATGAGAAAGAGTGTTCTATCAAATATTTATTTAAATTGTTAATCTAATGAGAACCTTTTTATTTTTGTACAGAGCCGTGGTATAAATTAACAGGTTAATATGAGTCACCAAATCTCCCTTCTGTTCCTAAGGATGCTTGCTTTGCCTCACTCAGCCTATCTTTCTTGGATTTTCATTAATTCATCTCTCAAAGCCCAATCACCCCCACCCCAACACACACACACACACACACACACACACACACACACACACAATTCATTTGCTGCAGATTCAAAAACTCAAACAGAAAAAAATAAGTTTGTTCTTGATGAAGCTACAGCTCTCATGTGTGTACCAGTTCTAAAGTTAGTGTGATTTGGTCACAGACCTTTCTGCCTCTCTGCCTTTAAGTCACCTTTTTTCACCTCACTGAAGGCCATGAATTCACGCTCTCTGGAGTCAGCTCTGCCTTGAGTCTGGGGAGACCCTGGGAGAGTGAGGGCTTTGAACCAGTTTGATCTGGTTCAATCATGGCTGATGAAGCAAAATCAGAACAAACTGGAGTTTTAAATGTTGGATAATAATAACCACAATGGGAAAAATTATGGGTGGAGGTCCTAGAATGGAAGACTCCTAAGAGGCATAGTAGGAGCTCTGGTGGTATAGTGCCTAAGGTATTTGACTGCTAACCAGAAGGCTGGCAGTTCAAACCCACCAGCCACTCCTCGGAAGGAAGATTGGGCAATCTACTTTTGTAGTGATACTGCCTCGGAAACCCAAAGAAGGGTCACTATGAGTCGGATCTGACTCCATGGCAGTGAGTTTGTTTTTTTTTTTTTTTGGTTTAAGAGGTGTAGTGAGCCCTTTCAGAAGTCTGATGCAGGAGATTTGTTTATTGCCAGCACTCTAGGGCCTGTGGTGGCACAGTAGTTAAAACATTTGCCAGCTAACCAAAAGGTCAGTGGTTCAAACCCTCTAGCTTCTCTGCAGGAGAAAAATGAGGCAGTCTGCTTTGGTAAAAATGTATAGCCTTGGAAACCCTATGGGGCAGTGCTACTCTGTCCTTTGGGCTGCTATGAGTTGAAATCAACTTGATGGGCAGTGAGTTTGGGATGGAGAATGACACGCATTCAAAGCCATGTGGTTGGCTGTCATTTTTGAGAGAGGCACCACTGTTTCCAACTCTGTTTCAGGAGATTTGGTTGCTATGCAATATAAATTCTGCCCTTGTTTCTAAGTAAGAGGGAGATTAAGTTTCTAGCAGGGTGTCAACCTGTAATTTTTCCCATTCCAGTTATTCTTCCAATTCACCCACATTTTATAAATTTGGGTCCACTCTGGTTTCTCTTTGTCAGACATGACTAAAGTGGTAAGAACCATTCAAAGCCCTGAGCACAGTCCTCATTGTCTCAGCTATCATTGGCCAAAGGGTCATCCAGGCTCTGAGAAGGAACCACTCTGATGAGTACTGGACAAGACAGAGGAGCCCAGCAGGGGCTTCCTTTCCAGGGCCTTGATGGAGTTTTGGGCTCTGGTATTTTCACCAGACAACAGATTTACACTGGAAGCTTCGAATCACCCTCCACAGTGCTCTGGAAAGGACTGCCCTATGAGCTATGTCTTTAAAAAAGTCATTTATAGGCTGGAATAGAAAAGCTCTTCACCCCAGTGACTTTGGAGGAAAATCTTGAACGCCACCTGCATCAGGACACCATTGTCAGGTTGCCTGAGATGGGGGTCTACTAGTGAAAAGGGACGTTCTGTACTTAAGTAAGAAAAGTTGATTTCTTCTGATTGATTCTAGTCTTCGTCTGCATATAGTTTGGTGCCCCTCTTCTTTGCTGCTGTCCAGCACTTGGATTGGTGCTTGTGTCCTATTTGTTTAATAAAGGGAGCCTTATTTTAATATGTGGCATTTGTGTTTATTCTCCCTAATATTTTGGCTCATCTTTAGATAATAGTTTTGTGATTTCACAGGAATTGTGGGACAGCTCAGGGGCAAGGCGGGCCATTGCTAGCTTTGCGACAGGCACTCCAGCACCTGAAGGAAGATGGGAGCACTACTTTTGAAGAAACAGTGATGGCTGGCAAGCACAGGTGTTATGCCAGAGATCGTCTGGTCCCTGGCCCCAGTCCTAAAAGGATGCTGCAAAAATATTATTCAGTGAGTGTGGGGCTGTGCTGGCCTAAGAGAACAGGCCAAGTTGATTAGCAGGGAAGAGTCGCCTTCATGATGAGCAGTAACAGGGCTAACTCTTAAGAAAACTAGCAATCAATACATTTTCTAAAATTCAGATTTACTTTCTGCTATTTATGATCTTGATTACTGTTAAAAAAGCTTTCATACTTTGAGACTGAAAAATTGATCATAGTGATTTACATGTCATCTGTTTCCCACCAAACATTATGGTTGTGTTTTCATCATGAAGATTGGAGAGAGTGTTAGATTTTAATCCCAGACCTATCTGATAGAATGTGCTATATGACCCAGAATTAGTCTCTTTCCCTTTCTGGGCTTCAGCGTCTGTTTTTGAAAATGACAGAATTGGTTATAATTATTTCCAAATCCCTCCCTGTTGCTGTAAATACAAAACAAAGCAAACCAAAGATGAACCTGATTTTAGAAACATTCACAAATACAACCAAATTTATTTCTGCTAACATTTTGCAAACTGTGACCTAAAAGTTCCTGAGCCTTGAAAAAGTAGATTGCTATTTGTTTGCTCTGCCACTGGGAAGAGTTTGCATGCACTCAGATTAGCTGAGAAGGATCTGGCCCAAGCCCATTGCCGTCAGCTTGATTCTGACTTATAGTGACCCCCATTGGGTTTCCAAGGTGGTAAATCTTTACGGAAGTAGATTGCCTCATCTTCTTTCCACAGCGTGCCTGGTGAGTTTGAAACCACCAACCTTCTGGTTAGCAGTCAAATCCCTTAGGCACTGAGCCACCCGAGCTCCTTGAGGAGGATCTGGGGAAGGATCTAATTTCTGTTTTCTGGCAACAAGGAATCAACAAAGAAAACAGTCCTTGTTCTTTGCATTCCTACTTCCTGGGTACAGTGTTCCCCTGGGAGAGGCAGGGACTTGAGGATAGATTCTGGTGCTCTGCCCCAGAGAAACTGGGTGAAAATCTCAGTAGACATGCTTGTGTTAGATGTGCATCTTGTGCCATTTACTGACAATGCAGAGTAGTTATTCCTGCTTTGCAGGTTAACCATGTTGTTTTACACCCAGGGCATCATGCATACACTAAAGCATTTATTATTTTAATCTGCTCCACATCAAGCCATACATAATTTTAGTCACATATTTAGGGAGTGCTATCAGACAACTTCAAAAACTCAAGCTCAGAAATTATAGTATGTGTGCCCTGCAGACCCTTATGTAGAGGGATGAAAAGCCCCTAAGAATTTTTGTAGTGTTCAGAGCTGCAAGAGGGCATAGAAATCATAATTCAATCCCATCCTTCACTGTGGGAGAAAACTGAGGCCAGAGATGGGAAAGATTATTCCACAGTTACAAAAGTTGAGCAGGCAGATTAGGGCTAAAGTCAGGGCTGCTACATTTGGTTGTGCAAGAAAGCCCAGACGTGGGGGCTGGGATCCTGGTACAGAGATGTGTCCACCCAGAGGAAAGTGCACCCTTTTTTTTTTTTTTTTTTTAACTTGCTCAAAGATGCTACTTACTCAGCAGTCTATGCACCTTCAGGGCTGTGTTTTTCCAGAAAAGGTGCCTTTTCTAACTCACATAAAGGTGCTGTAGAGGCAGAAGGCAGTCCAGGCTAAAGCCCAACTTTTGTGATTTCAAGTCTAGTACTCTTCACCTATATCACCTGTATCACTGCCCATTTGTCTTGATGACTATTCTTCCCTCATGCAAAGAGCCTATAGTTCACAAAGCTTCTATTTTCACGTGCACAATTACATTGAATGTTTATAACCTCCTTTTGAGGTAAATGTTATTGCCATTGTACAGATAATAGAAGCTCAGTGTGCCTTCCTACTTTGCTCAAGATTGCACAATTAGTAAGAAGCAACATTCCCTAATTGCTCAGTAATTTGAAATTCTGGGCATTCATTCTAAAGTATAGAAAGTATCAGGATCATGGATGAAACGTAAAACTCAGATATATATGCAGTTATTTCTAAATATCCCTACTCTAACTCTGGCTCCAAAAGGATTCCCTTATTGAATTTTTAACATTTTTCTTTGGATGACATATAAACACAGGCTTGGATTCTTTTTAGTTCCCATTTTACTTATAAAGGAGAGGAAAGAGTGTTCATGTCTTTAGCACATGTAAAATGTATTCATAATCTTTCTTACATGGAGAGTGTATCACACACAGTTCTGTGTGCTCATCCATGTCTGTATACACCAATTCTTTGGGCCTAATGTTCATGCCACATATTCAAGGCCAGAGTATAAGCACACTTGTCATGGGTCACACAGAAAGAACCAGGGTTTGAATCTAGCATCTTTCTAAGGTGTGGTGCTGTCTACTATTAGTGCCCTGCCCCCTTGCCTCTAGATTGTGTATCTTTCCTTTCTTATTAGATTTCTCATTAGAACTATGCACTAAGCTGGCAAAACTATTCTTTGGTTTCATCTGTAAAAGGGAACTAGGGAGGTGAGATGTAGGGACATGACATTGAAGGATCTCATAGCTCTAACAATCCATAATTCCCAAACAAAGCTCTACCATTGGTTCCTTTTTGACATGTCCTTACCACATCTTGAATGTCTGGTGATGTCTGGGACTGAAAATGAGAGAAGTAAAGCCAACAAGTTGGTCCTTTCAGACATGATGAGTCAGGGACTTCTCAGAGGCTCATTCCTCTCAGAATTTAAAGGACTCATGTCCTCACTGCCCGCAGAAGAAGGTGAGTGGATAGTAAAAATAACAGAAGTTTCTCTTCTATAATAGTGTGAAAAACATGTTCACACACTAGGAACCCCAGGAGACAGTGGAGGCAAGGGTTATGATGAAGAAATGAAAAGCAGTGAGGTGAAGTGACTGCATATAGTCACTTAGCTTATGGTGCTAAGTGACCCACTTAGTCATGGGTGCCCATGACTAACCCAGAAGCACAGTCTTCTGAACCAGAGGAGGGGAGTAGGAGTGTAAACAACAACAAAATGCTAGGCATGTTGTTCTCACCACCATGTT